TCCAAGATGGCTGCCTGTCAGCCATGTTGTTAATTCGATCAGTCTCAAAAGTTGCCCTGCACCGGTAAGGACCGAGGGGAACCTGTTGGCCATGTTGTTTATCTGATCAGTCTCAAAAGGTTGCCCTGCAAAGCTAAGGACCAAGGGGAACCTACATATAATATTTGAGAAAATCCCTCCGGTATTTCTTGAGGAATAGCGATAACAAACTTTCAAAACTTTCACTATCAAAATCCAAGATGGCTGCCTGTCGGCCATGTTGTTTATCCGATCAGTCTCAAAAGTTGAAATTTGAGAAAGATCCCTCTGGTACTTCTTGAGAAATACCGATAACAAGAATTGTTTAAGGACGGACCACGGACCACGGACGCAGGGTGATTTGAATAGCCCACCATCACCATCAGATGATGGTGGGCTAATAACGATGAAAGGAGGATAAAAAGGGCAGAAGTGTGTGAAAGGGATACATCACTAATTAGGTCAAATATAGTACAATGTTTATATGTGAACAAATTGAAACTCGGAAGTTAAACACAAAACCTCCACAAAGAGATTACACCAGCTTCTTGGCACCGACCTGCATGTCTCAAATCCAGGACAACTGTTAACGTTGTGGTCCCGAAGCTGGGGCTTCTGTACCCAGCTTCTGTATCATGGGACACATCATTATGTAACACCATGGAATCACACACAGCAGGCCATTCAAAAATTAAGATGCAATATATATTTGATGGTGAAATGTAAAAACACCGGTAAGGACCAAGGGGAACCTACATATAAAATTTGAGAAAGATCCCTCTGGTACTTCTTGAGAAATAGCGATAACAAACTTTCACTATCAAAATCAAAGATGGCTGCCTGTCGGCCATGCTGTTTATTTGCTCAGTATCAAAAGTTGACCTACAAAGCTAAGGACCAAGGGGAACCTACATATAATATTTGATGAAGATCCCTCGGGTATTTCTTGAGGAATAGCGAAAACAAACTTTCAAAACTTTCATTATCAAAATCCAAGATGGCTGCCTGTCGACCATGTTGTTTATCCGATCAGTCTCAAAAGTTGAAATTTGAGAAAGATCACTCTGGTACTTTTTGAGAAATACCGATAACAAGAATCGTTTAAGGACGGACCACGGACCACGGACGCAGGGTGATTTGAATAGCCCACCATCACCATCAGATGATGGTGGGCTAATAACAATGAAAGGAGGAAAAAAAGGGCAAAAGTGTGTGAAAGGGATACATCACTAATTAGGTCAAATATAGTACAATGTTTATATGTGAACAAATTGAAACCAGGAAGTAAAACACAAAACCTCCACAAAGAGATTACACCAGCTTCTTGGCACCGACCTGCATGTCTCAAATCCAGGACAACTGTTAACGTTGTGGTCCCGAAGCTGGGGCTTCTGTACCCAGCTTCTGTATCATGGGACACATCATTATGTAACACCATGGAATCACACACAGCAGGCCATTAAAACACCAAGATGCAACATATATTTGATGGTGTAATGTAAAAACAAATAGTGGATATACCTTGAGTATATTACACCATATCAATAATGTAATGTGACTTCAGAAGATTTATTTTAAGATACAGTTTAGGTAAGAAATTGTTTGCACCTTTAAAACATACGTGTATGATCTAAATGGCCTTCAATAATATGCACAAGTGGAACATTTCATATAGAGGTAGAAGTCAACCACAGATGCGTAATTCTGAAGAAAACTTTTCGTTTCTTTTTTGAAAACATAAATTGCTATCTCAGGTTGTTAAAAAATAAAAATATTTTTCACAGATATTATGATCGATATACAGGTGCTGTAATTCTTTGATTGAGGTGCGACTATCAAGTGAGATTTAGTAAATTACCAAGTATTGTGAAGGAGATAGAGTGTATATGTATGAACATCATTTGGAAGAGTTTTGAAGAAGCAGGAGATTTTTACATTTAGATTTCAGTAGGCTCTAAGATTGATGGAGATGACCTGCATATAAGCTCAGACAAAAAAGGTTAAAAAATGGCCATTCTTCACGAATATTTAAATTGTCAGTACATTTGAATTGTTTTGCTCATGAAGTCTCTAATATTTCACCATTCAATTTACCTTCTGAAATCAGCATAATTTCATCCATTTTGCTTTTAGCTTTAATTTAATTCTTTCATAACACATATTAGAACATCTGAAATTGTATATGTTACTTTTCCTTTAACTCTAACAAGCTTGGTCAATGTAAGTAATTCTTTCAGAGATTATATTATGCAGTCTCTCCCTAGAAAAACGTTCATATCTTTAGGTATATCAGACCAACCTCTACTGCGACACTAAAAGTCGCTCAAGATTAAATAGTTACCATGACTGTAGCAGACCGACAGACATAAATGTGGTCCACGTAATATATCAACTGTACAACATATGCTGTATCCTACCTACAAAATGCACATTGCTCCTTGACACCACGACACAGAGCAGCTAAAATAAACGTTCTCCTGCAAGCACTACGGTATAAAAAAAGGAGGTTTCCCTGATGCATTCCCATATGTAATATTAAATTCCAAGTTTTCTCTATATTTGTCATGTTTGTGTGTGTAACACTAAATAGACATTACATAATGTATAACTGTTCAACATTTAATAAAGCTGTCTCCTCTACATACACTTCTAATGAGATTCTGTTTACGTCGACTTGATATGAAAGATGAAAACATCAATATGTAATGAACATAACACACATATATCGGCTCTATTTGCACTTCTAGTAAAAACAAAATCCACTTCAACATTTTTTTCGTCGAAAGCGGGGTTTTTTTACATGTGAATGTTCTTATGAAAATTTCATAAAATATCCTTTCAAGTCTGCAGCCTCCATACATCTTCCACTTGTATTCCAGATATTTTTCATAGAGCTTGGTTAAATAAATGGCTGGTTGTTATAACATGTGTTCCAGAGATTTCCTATAGAGAATTATTAGGATAAATACACGGTTGTTATAAATCTTGTACTCTAGAAATTTCCCATTGAGACTAAGATAATGAATACTTACTTATAGCCAATGCTTGATGACAGGGTAATAGCATTGTCATTTAGTTTTTATTATTTCTGTTTCAGATAAATCCCTTGCTAACATTTTGCATTTTTGGACTGTAATAGAGTTGTATGCAAAGTAAAAGAAAGAAGATCTAGCAAAATTGGTGCCTTTTATTCTTTTTTGAAGTATTTTTGAACAGATGTGATTTCGGACAACAATGTCAAATACACAGGTTCATTTCTTGCAATGGCTCACATAGACACTAAGGCTCATACAGACACTAAGTCATACAGACACTAAGACTCATACAGACACTAAGGCTCACACATACACTAAGGCTCATACAGACACTAAGGCCCATACAGACACTAAGGCTCATACAGACACTAAGGCTCATACAGACACTAAGGCTCATACAGACACACACAGACACTAAGGCTCGATCATACAGACACTAAGGCTCATAAAGACACATACAGACACTAAGGCTCATACAGACACATACAGACACTAAGTCATAAAGACACTAAGGCTCATACAGACCCTAAGGCTCATCCAGACACACACAGACACTAAGGCTCATACAGACACACACAGACACAAAGGCTCACACAGACACTAAGGCTCATACAGACACTTAGGCTCATACAGACACATACAGACACTAAGAGATACAGACACTAAGGCTCATACAGACACTTAGGCTCATACAGACACATACAGACACTACGTCATACAGACACTAAGGCTCATACAGACACTTAGGCTCATACAGACACATACAGACACTAAGAGATACAGACACTAAGGCTCATACAGACACTAAGGCTCACACAGACACTAAGGCTCATACAGACACAAACAGACACTAAGGCTCATACAGACACTCAGGCTCATACAGACACTAAGGCTCCTACAGACACCTACAGACACTAAGTCATACAGACACTAAGCCTCCTACAGACACTAAGGCTCATACAGACACTTAGGCTCATACAGACACATACAGACACTAAGTCATCCAGACACTAAGGCTCATACAGACACTAACGCTCATACAGACACTAAGGCTCATACATACACTAAGGCTCATACAGACACTAAGGCTCCTACAGACACCTACAGACACTAAGTCATACAGACACTAAGCCTCCTACAGACACTAAGGCTCATACAGACACATACAGACACTAAGGCTCATACAGACACTAAGGCTCATTACAGGTGTACACAAATAGAATTACCCATAGGGTGATGCTGTGGCTACACACATCACTGTCTATTTATATACACTGTGATCTATAACAGGAGTCATGTAAATTCCTTTAAGAATGCCCGCCCCACTGTAAAACACTTGAGAATTACACTTAAGCTTTTCATACAAGTCATACAGTAACCTTCCCTCCATTTTGTTTTGGATAACTTTAGTACGACTATACCAGGGTAATACCGTTGACAAGGAAGCTCACCTGGTTAGAGTGATAGTATAATATTCGGAGGTCCAACGACCTGATCCTGGTCTGGTCCACAGGTACTAGCCTCGTCTGTCAATACACCCATAATATAGTATGGGTGTATTGACAAACGAGGCTTCTTGTACCTGTGGTCTGGACCTGTTGAATTTTCACGCTCATTTCCTATACATGTACATGTAATGTTTCCCCATGGGTATGTTTTTTTGGGGGAAATAGTTCATCAAAGCTAAAGTTATTTCAGAAAAAAATCCACTGCACAGTTAGGTTTTGGCAGTGGTATCGGAAGCCTTAAAAACTAAAAAAACACTTAACGGTAAACCTTCATATATTCAAACACAATGACTCAATTTATAACAGACATACAGGAACCCAAACAAAGATATATCAGATATAAAATCATGATATTATTGTTTATAAAAAAAGAAAGATATGACAACCTCTCAAAAAAAATCAGATGGTGATTACAGTGAGACTATTGTTTTATACTCACCGTTTTGCGTTTCAGAGCATCTTGTAGCAGCCTGCAAATATCCTCATTTACAACCCCTTCACAACGGAACCCTTTTGTCCACTTAGAGAGTCGCGCCTTAGCAAGGCCCTCCTGTCTACATGGGAAGGAGAAGGTAAAACCCAGAGGGAGTTTTTCCCCTTGTAGCTCATGGTCTGTCAGGAATCGCCCAATACAGTCCGCAATATGGTCAAACAGCTGAAAGTGCAAAGTACGACTGAAGTTAAAACTTGCTCAAACAACATGTGATGCCGTCAAAGATCAGGGCCAGAAATATGTATTAGAACTGGCAAATACCAGGGTTTCACTCTAACACAGACAGAAATATGTATTAGAACTGGCAAATACCAAGGTTTCACTCTAACACATACAGATTGTTAAACAAGTTTCAAAATCACATTATACGATTTTAGTGAATCTTAAGCAAGTTTCGTAATGGTTTAATAAAATCAGAATGATTTTCCGATGCCTTTTATTTTATTGCCTAGCCATAGCATGTTAAAAACAAACAGGATTTTAAACAGCAAAGACTGGAAAATAATTAACTGGTAGAGTGACCCCCCCCCCCCCCCCCCCCCCAC